TTCCTGGATTCCCATCCACCAAAGAGTGAGAGGAGGGAACAGGCTTGTGGAGAACACGGATGCAGAGACGGGGCAGGTGTCTTCGGGTGTAGAGGGGCTGGGCCGGAAGGTCCGATTTCGTCATACTTAGACATGGGTGGAGCGTGCGTGTGCACGCTCGCCCCTGCGCACACAGTTGTCTAATTACTACCTTTGGGTCACTTAAATGTTCTGAGCAAGTTTCTTCACCTCTAAAAATGAGTGACTTGTGAGCTAGCTGATCTCAGTGGTTCCTTCCAGCTGTATTTCATTGAACACAGGAGGTTTGGGGAGGTTGGTTGAGTAAAATAGAAGAGAACTGGCAGCCCGGCTGGTCCTCGGTGTAGGCCCCGCTCTGAAGTTTCTCCTCCATGCACGTGTTAAGCCTTTACAGTCATGCTCCAGGCCTGAGGTGCATTTCCTGCTGAAACTGACAGGGGCTGGGGATCCGAGTGAACATCCTTGGTGTCTTTCTCCCTGACACCGGAATGACTGATTTGCAGGTGAGGATGTGCCATCTTTTGGTGCTTGTCTTACATGACAAACTCATTTGTCTCAGGCTGCTGGGAAGCAGCGCTGTGAGGAGACCGCCTTTTGGGAGAAAGGGACTCGAATGAGTGTTGAGTGATTGTGGTGAACGACCCCTGAGGGCACCGGGCCGTGGAGACGAGCAGGCTCTGAGGACATCGGGGAGTCAGAGGGTCCCCAGATGCCCAGAACCCAGTGGGTTAAGTGTGAAAGGAACTCACACAATGCTGGTGGAGGGAGAGGAGGGAGTGCCAGATGCTGTAAACGTAGCCCCTGAGTGCCCAGGATGAGCGTGGTCCTTCAGTTTAAACCCTGCAACACCCTGGGAGGTAGTAGGTATGTCCTCTCTCCATGCTAAGACATGAGTTGGAGACCTGCTGCTTGCAGAGAACGACAACCTTTCTCCAACCTGACTTTCTCATCTTTAGAGGGACCAGAGGGTTGGCCTTTTCATGACCAGCAGAGTCTGCAGTAAGGAGAGGAGGAGCCCCCCCAGCCAGTGGCTCAGCAGGTTGGAGGGTGGGGACAATTTCCTGAGCATCTCACAGAGACATTCATCTCCTTCCTCCCCGGAGGAGCCCACAGGGGCGCTCGCGGTGCTGGGCACCTGCCCTCTTGGAAGGTTCTGTGAGAAGGAGGGTCAGAGTGGAAGATTGAGTGCCCTTGCTGCTGGCTTCCCGGTGTACAGCCCTCCCCCCCAGCTGCCCGCAAGGCCCCGCTGCCAACTGTTCAGATGTGGGAGGGAGGGACGGAGCGTCAGGAGTGTCCCAGGCTGCTACCTGGGAGGGCAGAACAGGGAAGGAGGAGAGGGGGCTGTAGGGTGTCTGGGCTTGGGGTCCCTCACTGACAGCCGTGGGATTAGGCAGAGTAGCAGACTGCTCTGAGCCTCGGGTTCCTCATTGGTAAGTGGTGGTGAACAGTATCTTCCCTAAGGGTGTGGAGAGAACTGCAAATAGTGAATGCAGGGCCACTGGCATCCTGCCTGGCACATAGTAAATGCTTAATAAAAATGATGATTACTCCAGGCCTGGACTGTCACTGGGACAGAAGGTCCTAATGGGAAGGAGAGGTGAAAGACCAAGTGCTGAGGGGAGCAGCTGAACTTCTGGTCCCCACTCTCCTCTCCTGGGGCTCATCCTTGTCTGGAACATTGTCCTCCCTTCTCTCCTTTGCAAGCGGCTGTCAGGGACTCAAGCCCCAGAATGTAAGTCCTGTGATGGAGGAATGTAAGCCGGGGTATGTGCATGCGATTCTGATGTTACAGGAGAAAACACTCCCCATGGATCCTTCCAACTGTCCTCCTGGACTGCTGGCACAGCCCGGGATTTGTGGATGTGTCTGCAAAGCTCAGACAAGGCTAATTAGTTGAGGTCGCAGGAGGGTTAGGGAGGAGCTGGGGGTTAGCCATCCATGTTGCTGTCCTAGTGGCCCCACTCTAGGCCCCAGGTCAGAAATAGAGCTGTCTTATCCCAGGCCCTTCACTCAGTCTGCTGGGCAATTCGGACTGTCCAGCAGCAAGGATCACCTGGGGTGGGAGCTACAGCTGAGGGAAAGGAGAGTTTCGGGAGACCTGGAGATGAGACATGCAGTGGGGGAAAAACCCAAAGACCATGGAGCATGTCCTATGTGCTGGAGACTGACTGGGGGACTTCATTATGAGTAGACACATTCAGTCTTTATGAAATAGGTTCTATTATCATCACCACTTTACAGGTGAGGAAACTGAGGCACAGAGAGGTAATTTCCCCTAGATATAGAGCTAGTTGAGCAGCAGAGTCCTCATTCCACATCCAGGCTGCCTGGTCCTAGAGGCCACACGCTCCACTTTCTCATTTGATCTCCTCTTGAAAGTTTAAACCAAAGAAAGACAGAAAATCCTTATTGGGGACTTTGACATGGCACCTTAGGTAGGAGCCAGGCCGATCTAGGGGTGGAGCAGGGGTGGGGTGTTTGAGAGTGGGGGCAGTTGGGTACTGGGGGTGGGGACTCAGAGCAGCTTAGAGCTCCCTGATTCCTACTCTCAGCCTCCGTGGTCGCTGCATCCTAAGGACCTGGGGGACTGGGGAAGATTCAGCTCCAGGCAACTGGCCAGAGGAGCGGCATGCCACGGGCTTATTCTTTCAACAAACATTTCTGGTGCCCCCACACCTGCCCCAATGCACCAGGTGCTGGGCACCCTCCCCCCAAAACAAAACTTAGCCCTGCCTATGAGATGCCCATGGTCTGATGAAAGCAGAATTACAGCCTTCTGTGAGTGAGGGCTGACCAGCCCTGGGGGGAGCAGTGACAAGCTTTGCAGGGGGCCAGAGGGGGGTTCTTGGAAGGCTGTCCAGGGAAGGTGACATTGAGGCCAGGACATGATGTGGGGTTTTTTTTGGGGGGGCAGGGCAGACTAGAACTAGAGTCTTTGGCCTGTTGGGGGATGGTTACTCCACAAGCTCTAGAAATCTGAAAACGCCCTGGGGGAGGGTTTGTTGAGGCAGGGCAGAGGGGGACTGAGGACGTCGGCACCCCTGGGCATCCAGGACACTCTCCCCGCGAGGGGACCGGCACCAGCGAGGCTCCCTCCTCCGCATCCAAGCACTGCCCGCTGTGGGCAAAGAGAATGACAACTGGGTGGCAACTCGGGATGACAGAGACGCCCTGAAGGGCATGTGCTTTTATGTAATCGGCCGCGCACCCAGGGCCCCGGGTGGGCGCTCAGCTCTGCGCCCACGGACCGAGCGCCGGCATGGTTTCCTGCAAACGGGAGGGGACAGCCAAGCGAAGTAAGTTAGGCAAGTCCCAGGAGCCTCGGCAGGGGCCGGCCGGGCCTCCCCAGGGCGCGCCCCGCTCTCCGCGCCCC